TAATTGAAATGGATTATGAAGTTTACTAGTATATGTTATGAATTCCCATTTTGTCCGTTGGTTTTTCTTATTTTCTAATGCTTAACAGTATGATTATGCATTTAAATAAGTGTTTCTTCCTTTTTGTGGGTGTCATATATCATGGTGGGTGATTTGGAGATTTTAGCTAAACGATGTATTGATGATTTGGTAAAGTATCATGAATAGTGGTTTGATAGGAGGTGTTTTTTTTCATGGGAAAAGAATGCAAGATTTGAGAGGTGGAACACTACGATCAAAGAGGATCAATGATAACCAGGAGATCCCTGCTGTTGCAGCTCCAACTGCTCGACGTGGTATTGGTAATAACCTTTTCGGTTTTATCTTTAAATCTTTTATGTTTTGAATAAATCCAATTTACCTGCTGTTTCTTTGTAACACATGGATCACTGTTCAGCTACTAGAGGTAGAGGTAGAGGGCGCAGAGCAATGAATCAGGATGACAACGCCAAGCTTGTTAGCCCTGGTACCTGTGGCAGGGGTGGCACAGGAATAAATTTGCCGGTGAGGCCCGTAGTTGAGAAAACTGCCGAAAGATTGGTTGCTGTCGAGGAAGAAGGAAACACTAGTCCACTTCCTGAAAGGGTATGAATGTTCTCTGTTATTAATCTGAATTCTGATCCCAATAATTCGCTTTTGTTGTAATGAATGATAATGGATGAGAGTCTCATATTAGGGGGCGGGGAAACTCTCCTTCTAATATTCTATTTGCTTCTCCTTTGGCAAGTACAGTTTGAAAACTCTCCTGTCTATAAGCTAGATAGAAAGCTGGGTAAAGGGGGTTTTGGACTGGTTTATGTTGGAAGAAGGATCTCTGGTGGCATAGGAAGCACAGGGGCAGATGCCTTTGAGGTTTTCTTTCTCTTGAAACTCCTTTGAACCTAAACAAATTTCACTAGAAGTTGTTTCTGTTGTTAATATTATTATCCTTCTTCATTTTGCAGGTTGCTTTGAAACTTGAGCATCAAAATGGTAAGGGATGCAGTTCTGGTCCTCCTTATGAGTGGCAAGTGTACAGGTATGCCAGATTTCATTTGTTCAGTCATTTGAACTTCCATATTTTATGACCTAGTTTAGTCTTTTGTCTCAAATATCTTCAGCACTCTTAATGGTTTTTATGGACTTCCTTTGGTTCATTACAAAGGTCAACTGGGAGGCTACTACATCCTTGTCAGTTTCTTTAGTAAAGAATTTCTAATCCACTTTTTTATTTTGGAAAAAGAAAAAAAAAAGAACCCTGAAAGTCCTTATTGATGTTTATGTGAATTTTGTGAATCTAGATCATGGATATGCTAGGTCCAAGCTTATGGGATGTTTGGAACTCAAACAACCAGATGTGAGAAATTATTATTTTCTCTTTCTTCTTCTCGTTTGCTATTATCCTCGGTTTCCCTAGAATATGCCTCGAATTATTTAACTAAAACTTTGTTGCTGCTATACATTGCTTTTTTGGTTTTTGGTATAGGCTGACAGAAGAGATGGCTGCTTGTATAGCAGTGGAGGCAATATCAATTCTCTAGCAGCTTCATCAGAAAGGTTACTTTGAAATTGTTGCATTTCCATTTTCCCCCTCACTTCTCTCTGTTGTATTTTGTTCACATTTATTTTCTTCACTTCAGTTTTGTACATGGAGATGTTAAGCCCGAGAACTTTTTGCTTGGTCAGCCTGGGACCTCAAATGAGAAGAAATTGTATCTAATTGATCTTGGTTTGGGTATAGCTGCTTTCCTTTTACATATTAGAGATGTTTTTCTACTTTATTTTATTTTATTTTGGAGTGGCCTAAAATTCTTGGTTCTTTTCAGCTTCAAGATGGAAGGAATCAGTTTCTGCACATCATGTTGATTATGACCAAAAGCCTGATGTGTTTAGGTAATGGGCTTCAAGTGCTGAGGCTGCTTCTTTATAATTTCTAAAGCATATATGTTTGTAGAGTTTATTCATCAAGTAGCAGCACAATTTTTCTGCCTAGTCGTCTGTTCTTCAGACTGAAGAAGGTTAGATTACCATTTAAAATGTTTATTATTTTGCTCATTTTAGGGGAACTGTACGTTATGCTAGTGTACACGCTCATTTGGGTAGGACTGGGAGTCGAAGGGATGACCTTGAGTCATTGGCTTATACACTAATATTTCTACTTAGAGGAAAACTTCCTTGGCAAGGTTACATTGTAAGTTCATTCAACTCTTTCATTTTGTATTTCCAATGAGAATAGCTTAATTCCCGTCTCCTAGCATTAATGTGTTGTGCTTTGATTTGCCATGGGACTGCAGGGCGAGAACAAAGGATTTCTTGTTTGTAAGAAAAAGATGGCAACTTCTCCCGAGATACTTTGTTACTTGTGCCCTACACCTTTTCAACAGTTTCTTGAGATTGTGACAAATATGAAATTTGATGAAGAGCCAAATTACTTGAAGCTCATTTCCCTTTTTCATAATAGCATAGATTTCAATTCACCAATACGTTCTATCCTAATTGATGGTGCTATTAAGGTTGTTTATCTGGGATTTTAACTGGTGCCAATATCTTTCCTTAAACAAGTTCATTTTAAAAAAAATGTTGATAAAATTTTAATGTACCAGATGGGCCAAAAAAGGGGAAGATTAGTCGCTGAGTTGGAAGATGGTGAGCTGCTTAAGAAGAAACTCCGACTAGGATCTCCTGCATGTCAGTGGATCTCAGTCTATAATTCCAGACCTTCAATGAAGCAGAGGTGAAAATTTGTTTCAAAGTCGAAGATTTTGTATTTGACATTAGATTTCCTTTTCTGTATCTATGTTTGGGTGTTTGGCTGCTTCATATGCTTCACAGATAATTTGAATGGGGTAATCACCTTATGGATATGTAAACGTAACTAGGATTCCAATTGTAGATTTTCCCACTATGTATAATGATGAAATTTCTTGTCATCAGATGACTTAAGAACTCTTGGTATTAGATTCTTTTTTGTTATAAAAAAAATTCACAATACTCTTTGCAGATATCGCTACAATGTTGTGGATTCAAGACTGTACCAGCATGTGGAGAAGGGGGAAGAAGATGGCTTGTATATTAGCTGTGTAGCCTCATCGTCGAATCTGTGGGCCATTGTTATGGATGCAGGGACATGTTTCTCATCTCAGGTTTATGAGTTATCGCCAATCTTTTTGCATAAGGTAGAAATTATGGCTTCTCAGTTATCTGCTTTTCGGTTTCATCTAATTAGACAAGTTGTAGGAAGTTTATTCCTTACTGATGATATGATCAGGAGTGGATAATGGAACAGTGGGAGAAGAATTATTACATCACTTCAGTTGCTGGTGCTAGCAATGGCGGTGCACTCGTTGTTATGTCAAAGGGTAAAATCGTATTTGCCTTGTTGCTTTTCCTTAAGTTCTTTGTTCACTAGATAAATCATCCATAAGGATGGGTTGTTTCACAAGAGTTTTAGTTCATATGTTTAGTGTGGCCAGTTATTCCAAACTGATAAGGCAGTCATGGGAATCATGTTGATCAATCACTTCCCATGAACTTAATTTGGCGGTTACATTAATGCTGATGTCGTATTCTCTTAATTGCTTCTAAAGGTACACCCTACACGCAACAGTCCTATAAAGTCTGTGATGTATTTCCTTTCAAATGGATTAATAAGAAGTGGAAAGAAGGCTTTTCTGTGACCTCAATGACCACTGCAGACAACAAATGGGGCATTGTAATGTCCCGTAATGCAGGCTATCCTAGTCAGGTTGTCCAATTCCAGACTAATAATACACTCGATTATATGATACTGTAGCAATTGCTTATCATCTTTTATTTATTTATCAAGTAGGCTGTTGAACTCGATTTCCTTTATCCAAGTGAGGGGATTCATAGAAGATGGGAAAAAGGATATCGAATTACATCAGCAGCTGCTACAGATGACCAAGCTGCATTCATACTTGGTGCACCCAAGAGAAAATCACAAGACATGATGCAAGAAACATTGCGTACAGCTGCTTTTCCCAGTACCCACGTAAAGGTAATCTAATTTTGCAGGATTTTACTATATGATATTATATATAGTTCTATCTCTATTTTTAATGCTTAAAGCGGGCTCAGTGATCTGTGTTATGATATCCATTCACACTCGAAACTTTAAAACTTTTATAGTGTCATTGTCGTGCAACCTTCTAATGCAACTAGCAATACCATTAATTGAATAGTATCCTCTAGGCTCTAGAGTATAAATAACAAGAATAGTTTAATTTACAAGAGGCTGTCTGTATATTTTTCATGTATTTTACCTTTTGAATAAAGAGAATTATGATCTCTTAAGCTTAACCGTGGAGCTTCAAATTATATCTTTTCTTCATCCCATACTAGCCTATGATTCTTGCTATTATCTGTTTTTCAGGATAAATGGTTGAAAAATCTGTATATTTCATGCATTTGCTATGGAAGGACAGTTTCGTGAAGTTTGGTACTCAGAAGAAAAAACTACAGATACAAGTTGAAGGCAGGTAAACTATTCTGGTCTAGTCACGTTTTGCCCATTTATTCTTCATCTGGTTTGTGTTGAAATTAAGAACATTTAATGAATCCGGTAAGGAGTCCATTTCATTGTGCCTTGCAGCCTGCTAATATTTCATGTTTGTCGATCAAAAGTTCTGTTCATAGTATCATGATTTTACTCTCATCCTTGGTTATCAAGCATCAATTACCTGTCGTCTTTAAGTTGTCTTGATACATGCGGGTCAGTTTAAATGTTCGACATTTTAAACCTGCATCAGTATTTTGTTATGCAAACTTATTTTAAAGGTTCACGTTTTCCTTGCTCGGAATTTTAAATTTTATCGTCATTCGAATAGGTATTTTCTCGTCTCTTGCCATTCTGGAGTCTATACCGGAACGTGTTGGGAGTGCTGAGTTGATGCTCTTTTGCATGGCAGTCATCGCCTCGGAGCTTGAACCGGGCAGAGTAAGTATGATCTTTTCTTGCGAGAATGCAAAAAGGCTTTTGCAACCCTGCCAAGTTTGTAAATGCCCTAAAAGCAATGAGGAAATGTAGAAATCAAAGTATGTATCTTTAACAATGGGGTTTCCAACCGAAAACTTGGTTGTAATATGTATATAACCAATGAGTTTAAGGCAAGGAAGAACCCACCAATCACACTAAAATTCATTAACTATCTTCTCAATGCCCAATTGTCTTCGTTTACCTCCCTCTCTCATACTGAAATCTGCTTAGTTTTAAACCAAGATTAAAATTCTATTAGAAGACATGTAATTGTTGACTAATGAAATATTCGGCATCTAATTTTTTTTATTTTAATATAAATACGAGTTTAATTAAATTTGCAAATTATTTTTAATAGTTTAAAATTAATATTTTTTTATCAAATTTCTTAAATTGTCAGTGTAATATAATCTTTTAAATATATAATTATTGAGTGATTAAATACAAAATATATATACTTGTGTCACAATTCAATTAGTTCGTACCCAAACTCCAAATTTGAATCATTGTCCGGCTTTGCTATGGCTGCACAAGGTAATTCAGGCTAATCGGCCCAAACCCTTTAAATTTTTTTAATTTCTGGATTTCTACTTCTAGTGAGGATTTTCGGGGCATTGTTCTTAGTTCTTGGCGTGAGGAGGTCACTGGAAATACTATGCGGAGACTCTTTGCCAAGATGAAGAGGCTTAAGCCCCACTTGCGTGAGCTCAATAAGCGCCAGTATGCTGATATTTCGAAAAGGGTGATTGATAAGCGAGAATGATTGGAGCAATTGCAGTTGTTCGATTTGTCTCATGTTGAGCAGAGGGATGTTGAGAAGGAACGTCTTTTGCGGGCTGATTTATTGGCTTTAGAGAGGGCTGAGACATCTTTTTATCAACCTATAGCTAAAGACCAGTGGTTAAAAGAGGGATATATTGGTACCAAGTTTTTCCATTCGACGGCTATGGAAAACAAAAAGAGGAATACTATCAGACTTCTTAAGGATGCGAGTGGGAAAAGGTTGGAAACCTTTGAGGAAATGTCAACTGAGATGGTCAACTTCTATATTGGCCTCATTGGCACTTCTAATCCTGATGTTAGGGGTTCTTTGGTGGAGCATCTCAAGGAGCTGGTGCACTATGATTTACCTTCTGGGGCTGCAGAAGAGTTGGAGAAGGAAGTTTCAGATGCTGAAATCAAGGATGTTTTGTTCAAGCAGGGGAATGACAAAAGTCCTGATCCTGATGGATACAGGTTTGGTTCTTTAAAGCTGCTTGGGACATGGTGAGGGTGGATTTCCTTGCTGCAGTGAGATTCTTTTTTTCGAACGCCTGCCTGCCTTTAATGTCACGGCTATAGTCCTTATTCCTAAGGCTCTGAATACCTGTCTGGCTAAGATTTTTCGACCTATTTCTTATTGTTATGTGATATACAAGACAGTCACAAGGATTTTGGTCATGAGGCTTGCATTATATTTCACTGAGATGATCTCGCCTAATCAGTCTGCATTTATCAAAGGGAGGAGTATTGTAGAAAATACTCTCCTTGCACAGGAATTGATCAAGGGGTATGTCAGAAAGACTTTTTCGCCTCGATGTGCTATTAAGATTGATCTTCAAAAAAATATTTGATTCTGTTGATTGGAAATTCTTGATGTGTGTACTAGAAGCTATGGCTTGCTTGAGACCTTTAGAGGCTGGATTAGAGCTTGTGTAACTACTTTCAAGTTTCAGTTTCTTTTAATGCAAGTCTGGTCGGATGTTTTAGTGAAACTCGGGATGTGAGGCAGGGGAATCCCTCGTCTCCTTACCTGTTCGTGTAGGTGATGAATATTCTTTCTTGTCTTCTGGATACTGCTGTGAAGAATGAGGTTTTTAGGTTCCATCCTAAGTGCAGAAGGATTTCCCTTTCTCATCTTTGTTTTGCTTATGACTTGCTCATTTTTTGTCACGGTTCCACTGATTCTGTGCTTGGGGTTACGAGTGCTTGAGCAGTTTTATGTGATGTCTAGGCTGAAGCTCAATGTGGCTAAGACTGATTTTTTTGCTAGTGGCATTGACAATCCTATCCTTAGGGAGATGCAGGTTGCCACTAGTTTTAAGTTGGGGATTTTGCCCGTGAGGTATCCTGGTGTGCCGTCGGTCACTAGGAAACTTTCTGAGAAGGAATGCTTCCCTTTGTTGGAGAAAATTAGGGGCGAGCTTGGGTCTGATCGAGGAGGACTTTTAGCATGGTGGTCGATTATAGCTTATCAATGTTGTGTTGTTCAGTGTGTTCAATTACTGGAGTAGGCAATTAATTCTTCCTATGGTTGTGATTAGGAAGATTGAGCAAATGTATATGTACTTTTGGGAAGGGAGTGATGAGCCTGCCAAAGAAGCTCGTGTGAGATGGCAGCAAGAGTGCTTGATGAAGTTTGAAGAGGGTTTGGGTATTAGGAATTTATTGTGTTCGAACAAGACTTGTAGTTTGCTCCTTGTGAGGAATATCCTGAATGGTGACAAGTCTTTATGGATAGCTTCGGTTGGGGAGTATGCATTCAAGGGGGAGGATTTTTGGCGTGTCGAGTGTAAACCTCATTTTAGTTGGACTTTGAGGAAAGTGTTGAGGCTTAGAAGAGAGGCCAAGGCATTATTTGAGGAGGTGGTTAATAGAGTTTGGTTAATAGCAGGTGGATTAGAGTGTTGACATTAAATTGTATAATTGTTGTATAGATAGAGTTGATAGGTAGAATGTTCAGTTGTGTGTTGATTGGGGGATCCATCGAGGCCTTACAGGTTGATTTTTGTAGCAGCAGCTGCTGCTTTTTGGTTAATATATGAGCATACATCGATTATCCCAAAAAAACAAAAATTAGAGTAAATTTGGGATTTTTTAAGGGTTTGCAACATTGATAAGCAAGATAATTTCACCTGATTTAAAATATAATATTGGAAATCATTTTTTACGATTTAATGACAACAATCCATTATAATTTGGCTCATTTCATGAGAATCCAAACAACAAAAAGCACATACGTTAAAAAAAAACCATCAGGAAAAATCAACATCAACAGCACCCTGACATTAATACCACGTCGTTCAGCGGAATCATTTCTTGCCTCTTAATTTAACCCCGAGAACCCTTTCCATCTTGGCCAACACGGCCTGGTTCGGCACCGCCTTCCCGTTCTCGTACTCCTGAACCACCTTGAGCTGCTCGTTTATCAGCTTAGCCAACTCTGCCTGACTCATCTTCTTCTCCAACCGGGCCTTCTGTATCGCTTGCCTCACATCCGTCGAGACCCGGTCCAGAGAAGCCGGTTCTTCCGCTTCGTCTAGCTTCCTGGCGTAAATCACCGGTCCCGCAGCTTTCTTGTTGGATCCGGCGTCGAATTTCTTGATCGTCTGCACCGCTGCCCCTGACCGCAGCGCTTGATTCACGGCCTTGGGATCGCGAAGATCCTGAGACTTGGGCTTCGACTTATGGAGCACAACTGGCTCCCAGTCCTGACTCACGGCTCCACCAAATCGGCTCGGCATTGTTGAGGACGATGACGTGACTGTAAAACTGCTTCGATCGAACAAATTGAGATAAATGTTTATGGTGAGGTTAAAGTCATAATTCGGGAGTTTATATCGAGATTCTGGCTCTGGAATGTTCTTGCGGTTTTTAGTATCTCGAAGGTTCTTTGCTATTTTACGTACGTATACGATGACATGGCAATTGTTTATCCGTTCTTTATTGGTGACGTGGGTAATAGAAAAACACGATAAATAGCGTGACGCCCAAGCCAAAATGAGACAAACTAAACAAATGAAAAATGTTAAATTCTATGGCATGTATATATTTAAAAATTTTACGATAAATTATATAAATGGTCACTGTTATTTAATTAAGTTTTTATTTTTTTATTTATATTCAAAAGTAATAATTTAATCATTGATATTATTGATTTATAATAAATTGATCATTCATTCGTTACTAAAATAGCAAAATACTAATATGAAGTATTAAATGGACTAATATGGTACCATTTACTCATGTGGGACAGTCATTTAAATTGACCATTTACTCTCCTTTTGTCTAAAGTGTGTTTGCGGCCAAGAACCATGTCCCACATGGCTGCAACAGCTTCGATCGATTCTCAGCCATCATATAAGCATCTCTTAATAAGCCACCCCCAAAGCTAACAAGAGTTAAAGCATCTCAGCCATCCCTTACCTTCCCCAAACATCAGTGCCATGGGTTTATTACCATTATTTGCTTTAAACGCAGGATAACAATGGGTATTGTTTTATGGTCATGGACCACGAGCAGCAAGACAGAAGCAACTCGGTGTACGGTCTTCCTGTATCATCCCTCCCCCTTTGCTTTCTCACTACCTCCTCCATCTTGGGACGGTTCTTCAGGTTCGTGACCCAGCATTTCCGCAAGATGTTCGCTAATGAACTCCGGCGGCACCGTGGGATCTTCGGTCGTAGATAGACTGTCGAGTTTAAGTCACTATATGTATAGTAACAACAAAATAACCTCTTGAACAACTGCGGATGATATATTTCGACAAAGCTAAGATCCGGGTAAGGCATGTCGCAGCAATAGATTCAGAACCTTGGTAACATTCAAGTGGTTAAGCTTATGCCAGAGAGAGGTCAGAGGAGAAATTCTCTCCTATATTTAATTGAGAATTGGTATGGATATTTAGTGTTTGTGAAATAGAAAATGGCAGAGAGAATGAGAAACCAGGTTGCAGAGAAAGTTGTATGTATAGGCATGAATTTGAGAAAACCATGAATTATCTCCAGGCTTAAAATGGCAGAACACTTCTTCTTGCTGCTGTTCTTTTTGTTGTTTATTATCATAATTTGTTTCTATTTTTGCTTCTCATCTTACACTATATTTTCATGGAACATTTTAATTGTATTTTGATGATTTCCCAGAATGCTAGTTGTTTCTTCATTCCTTAGTTGATTACTTGATCCTGAAACAGTAGTTAGAATCTTCCAATCAGGAACTCATTGATGAAGAAAGGTGAAACATTTTGGCAAAATTTTCCAAACTGGGTGTTTTAAGGTTCTCTTTTTGTAGATTCCCAAGTGATTTTGTACAGCATTGTGATCTTCAAGTGGGAATTTGGGATGGAGTCCCATGTGCAACACTCTAATACTGGTGGGTTTTTGAAATCCTGAATTACATTCCATTAAACAAAATGTCAAATTTTATCGTATTTTGTGTAAATAGTAAATTTAGTTTTTATATTTTAATTTGATGGGTTTTAGGGGTTGTTTGTTTACTTCAGAATGATTAAGCGCTGAATGATTCAAATGTTGAATGATTCAGAGGCTCTGTATGAATTAGCTCTGAATGTGACATGTTGTTTGATAATGGCTCTGAATCATTCAGAATGTATTTATTTGCTGAATCAGTCAACACTTAATCATTCAGAGGTGCGAAACAAACGCGTTGAATGTTGAACGGTTCAACATTCAGCGCTGAATAGTTCTATTAAGAGGCAAACAAACAGCCCCTTAGTCTATAATTCTTTTTTAAAAATAAAATTTTGATTTTGATCAAGCTACTACATCAATTGTTAATTTATAAATTATAAACAAATTAATTAAAATATAAAAACTAAATCTATGAACGAATTGATTCAAATATATCCCACCAAAAGAAAGAGGGTCTCCTTCAAAAAAGCTACGTCTGTTAGACCTTTGATCATCATAAACCATAACGTAAAAAAAGAATAATAAAAAATAAAAATTAATTCCACAAAGGAATTTTGTTTTATTTTTTCACCTAAAAATTTGACATAACTAGAGACAGAGCTCTGTTCGGTTCAAATGCCCTAACCCCGTGAAAAAATTATATATTTGATAGACTTTGATTTAATAGTATTTTGATTCATGTAAAATAAGTATTCAAATTAAAAATATATATATAAGAATTTATTAAATATTTAATCAAGTAGGAGCCAAATTAAAGAAGAATAATCTCATGTTCTCAAATTTTTTAGTCTAATAACAATTTAGGTCATTGTAAGTTTAAATATTAGACAAATTAGACATTGTCTTCTGAATTTTGAGTTTAAATATCTAATAAACCATTGAATTTTTCTTAAAAAGATTAACATTTTGAACTCCACCAATATTTAATCATGACTCCGTCCATGACATAACTACATTTGATTAGGGGTGGTGGTGTTTGGCCTGGCTGTAATTAAGTCGCATACTGTAATGGTTTTGAAAAATGATGCCATGACCATCATTTAGCTACCTTTAAAAAATGTTCTAATTTAGATTTCCATGGTTGAAATAGTGATGTACTGGCTTTTTAGTGCAACTCTAATGACTAAAAATACGGTCCCCACTATCAAATGCTGAAGGAATTTGTGGTCACCAACTCATTGATTGAAACCATAGAGTCAAATTAGCATTGTGTTTGAGTCATCGTCTTCCTTACTTTAAACTACTCAATCCATTAATAATGACTTATTCTAATGGTTCTGCCACTAATGGTTCTACACAAATGAAAACGAAAATGAAGTCTATGAAATCTATATTAAACGAAATGTCCTTAACTCTCCTTAAATCCAAAATCTTCAAAAGTCTTAAATAATATCATTATCAAACGAGTTAATGCTCAATCAACAGTTAATAAAATAAAAATTAGTATTCAAACCCATAAATTTAGATGGCTCAGAAGTTACAAATAATTGTTAAAATGAATAATATCTCAGCTTTATTTCACACACATTAAATTTACAATTCATATGTATTTATACAGCTTTACTAATAAGGATAACAAACTAACTAACTGCACTAACAAGAAACTATTTACAATTGATTTCTACACTCCCTCTCAAGTTGAGGGATTAAAACATTTTTTATCCCTAATGTAATACCCCAAATTTTGGTTAGTGACCAAAATGTAACTTTTGAAGTTTGGTGGCCAAAGTATTAAACTTGGAAAAATTTAGGGAATTAAGTGATAAATTTCCTAAAAAAAAATTTATTCCATAAATAGATGGTTTACCCTTGAGAGTGAGGTTTTATAGAAATCATATTTTTGGATATGAAATTTTAGTAAAAAAACTTAGAAAAGGGGTAAAGTCTGGTAAGGAATCAGTAATTCAGATCGAATTGAAATTTTAAAAAAAATTTGAAGCATGTTGTAAAATGGTTGAAAATATTATTTTAATATTTTAGATCACAGAAATTTGGTTTGAAAATGTGCAATTTTTCAGATTTAACCGAAACAGTTGAATTTAGTAACTAAAATGCAAGTTTTGAAAAATTCAGGGGAAATTTCGTAAGTTAAATTAATTCATCTTTGACTTTAAAAGATGATAAGGATGAGGTGTATTGATTTTATGGTGAATAAGAAGATTCATTAAGGGTGATTTGGTATTATCTCAATTAAATGAATATTATATTCATTTATAGTGGAATTTAATGTAAACTAATATGAAATGCACCCAACATTTCATCTAACTTGTTCATCTTCTCCTCCAAGCTGTGTGGGTTTCTCCAAAGGTGAGAGAAAGCTTCAATTCAATTTTCATGCAATTTACTTAGGATTCAATTTTCATGCAATTTACTTAGGATTTTGAGTATGTTGTAAAAGAGAAATGGTTATACGCGAAAAACGCTATCAATTGGTACAAATATTGCATGATAATTTTGTTGGTGTTCAAATATCCCAAATTCTTCAGTTTGTGTTCATATAAGGGATCATGAAATTAATGATGGATCTTGATGTTTGTGAGGTAGTAGATTCATATTCAAGCATGTATGATGATTAGAACATGTTTAATCTTTCTAAAATTTGTTCTTTTAAGTTTCGACCATGGATTGTTTGAGTGAGAAAAATTATGGAAAATTTGTATAAGGGTTGGAAATGATGAAGGAAGTATTCTACAAGCATTAGAAAATTTTGGGGACTATTTTGTAATTTTTGAAAAGTTGGGGATCAATTTGACATTTTTGGAAAATTGATGGGTTGTTGTGTAAGTGTTATATAATTGATGTAGTATGCTGGAAATTGTTGTTTTGGGATTGAAATGATTGTTTAGATGTGAAATATAACTATTTTGAAAGTTGAAAAAGGTGGTGCCAAAATTAAAAAGAATAAATAAGTGTTAAAGTATTTGGTGGTGAACAGTTTCAAGTATATTATGGAGTTGTTATGGGATATGTCTATGTTAGTACAATACTAACATATGTATCATTATGAATTTGTGAATTATACAGATCGTGATTTATTTGTGATCGAAACAAGTTAAATAGAAAAGGATTTATTGTGGTCAATAGTGATTCACATATATTTTGAAAGATATAAAGTGTCAAGGTGAGTGCAATATATGCATGACATTATACATGGATGTATTATACATAATCAGGAAGACTTGTGATAAGTTGACCTTGTTTATATCAGCATGATATTATGTCATATTTTTATAAATTGACATGACATTGATATGTCACAGTTTGAAATTATAATGCATTGATTATGAAAAATGTGATATTTTACCATGAATATTATTTCGGGTATGAACTGTCCAATGTTAAATATTGATGATATAATTTGCCATGGATGGATCAAATAAAATAGACTATATGCCCAA